GTAGTAGAGTGTAATCTTTACTCTGATTTGAAATTTTTTGTTCCATTTAGTACTTCGATTTATGTACTTAGTACTTGTGTTCGAGTACGTGTAATCCATAATTTCCCTGATTTCTCCAGCGTCCAGCGTCCAGCAGTTCCTGTTTCTACCTTTGATACCTATAACTTTGTACAGAAACCAAATGCCTGTCAAAGTTCGGCCTATGGAAGAACAAGCAAGAGAGTTCCCTGGATCGAGTACCCTTTTGCAAGATGCTGCTACAACCCGCCGAACTCCTTCGTTCGTTCCTAAACTTGGGGCCGGCATCATATCAGACATCCGTGCTCGCGCTCCTTGGTACTTCAGTGACTGGACAGATGCATGGAATTATCGAGTCATTCCCGCAACCGCTCTCATTTTCTTTGCGAAGTATGTCAGTAAACTCTACGCATAGTCCGCTCTCACAGATCTCCGGCGTATAGTGTCCTACCTGGTATAGCATTTTCGCTAGACCTAATAGAGACGACGCAGCAATACACAGTTACTGAGGTCCTTATATCCTCATTCATGGCTGCGTTTGTGTTTTCTGTATTCGGCGCGCAGCCGCTTACAATTGCGGGCGTCACTGGTATGCAAACACCAGCGTCTATCATGATGTGACAATGCCTCGTTGTAGACGGGCTATTCATAGAAACCATTCAGGACCAATCACAGTTTTTAACAGGACGATATATGACATCATCTGCAAACAGCCTAATGCACCAAATTATCTGCAATTTGTGGGTTGGGTTTACCTTTGGGCTGCAATCATCCATTGGGTAACGGCCGTTTTGAATTGTGGGTCTCCTTTCCTCTTCAACGACTTCCCATTTAAAGTTGATTTTGGCTCTCAAGGGTGTAATTTTGTGAGATATGTCACTCTGTTCTCTTGCGACACGTTTGGCTTCTACATCTCCTGGGTGTACCTCCAATACGGAGCACAAGTGATCACTCGACAATTCAGTGGGGATTTCGAAGGTGCTTTGGTGGGTATTACTCTTGCCCTCCTGATGCTCGTAACGTCATTCTTGTTCCAATGCCTTTCGGAGACCACGTTGTTCCATCGTCATATCCGTCGTTTCTTCTCGGATTATGGAATGCCCATCTCCCTTATTGCGGCTTCAAGCATGGCATACTGGGGCCGTTTTAATGCTTCTAATCCTTCCACGCTACCAGTAGGCGGTGCGTTCCAGGCTGCCAATGGAAGAGCGTGGCTTGTCAAATTCTGGGAGCTAGATGGGAAATGGGTCGGTATCGCGCTGCCCTTCGGTATAATTCTTTGGATCCTGTTCTTCTTTGATCACAATGTCTCGGTACGTCCCGCCACTTGCATACCTACTACATCCCGGCTCATTGCTCGATAGTCCCTAATAGCTCAGGGTTCGCAGTTTCCTCTGCGGAAGCCACCCGGTTTCCACTACGACTTCTTCCTTCTCGGTATCACAACATTCATAGCAGGACTCATTGGGGTGCCTGCACCCAACGGACTTATACCTCAAGCACCTATTCACACCACCTCGTTGCTCGTTATGGGAAAACCTTCCAAGAAAGATGTAGATGAAGAAGAACAGATCACCAAACCATCCTCGCAATCTGGCTACGATTCCAATGGTGCAATTATAAAAATGGAAAAGTCATTTGACTATTCCGTCGGTCAGCGAGAAGCCCCTATCGCCGTCGTTGAACAGCGAGTTTCCAATCTTGCCCAAGGTTCATTATGCCTTGTGTTACTTACCGGCCCGTTTCTGCATATATTGGGACTCGTTCCAAGAGGCGTGCTGGCTGGGCTATTGTAAGGTTATTCACTGTCGTTTGATTCCGCTAATCGTAGGTAGCTGGTTTATGGGTGCAGATGCGCTCAAGGGTAACGGAATCACCATCAAACTCCTGTACCTCATGCGCGACAAGACCCTCACCTCACCTGATGATCCGCTGCGCAAAGTCAGGAAATCCCGACTATTGATGTTTGTGACTATTCAACTCGTGGCCTTCGGAGCAACATTCGTGCTCACTCAGTCCATCGGTAAATAATTTGTCATCTATAGGTTGCGATTTTGCTTAATTTTGGGGCAGCTGCTCTCGGCTTTCCGGTCATAATTTTGCTTCTTGTTCCTCTTCGAGCCTACGTAATTCCGCGGCTCCCCTTCACTCAGGAGGAGCTTTCTATCCTCGATGGCCCCACAGCCTCTCCATTTGTGAGTCCATCGCTCTTACGCTCGCTTGAAAGCTCACTGGCATGTGCTCGACGTAGACGATGGAATCTGTTGGAGGATCTCTACACACGGCTTAAGCGTTATCTAAGTGCTCATTCTCTAGCTGTCCATTGCTCTCGTGTTTGATGCTGAAGTGTTGTGCAGTATTCCGACGAATTCCCATTTATTTTGATCATGGTGACATCGTCCTACATGTGTAGACAGCAGCGTGCGTTCCTTGTATCGTCTAGATGTGAATATCAAGTGTATCCTCGTTTTGTACCGTTTTTAACGCAATGGGGGCGCCAACCAGCGGGGAATTGAGCGAATGGTACAGTAGTACCTGGGAAAGTGTCTGGGGGAGAGGGATGTTGGTGGCATCGTCGGATTAATTATACTGTATACCGTGTTCAATGCTCATGTATGCAAGCATTATCCAGTATATCTCCATCTGTCTCCATGACCAAAAGAACGAGTTGACCTCTTCAGATCCGATATCTTCATGTTTGTGTAGTCACCATTAGCGGACTGACGAAGGTGCTCCGGGGTGCTCCCCTTCCTTATTAATATGGTGTGCTTGGAAATTGTTCGACACATGCTATACATACCTGGTCAGCAGATCAATACGGTTGCGATACACAATTGCTTTGAATACGTTTCAATCTGTTCCGAATCACTGACGGGCCTAGGGAGCCTTGACCTTGAGGGTAAATCCCACGATCCTTCTTCTTGAGACGTGTGACTTCAAGTCATCGCCGGGACACCGTGGCTATACTTATAGACTGCAAGAAGTAAGTACATCTTATCATAAGTTTTACTGTCGCGACTCGCGACGCGATTCCCAGGTATAAGTGTGCAGGTATGATAAGCCGACCTACCAAATTCGATTTGAATTCCAGTATTCTCTCATACACCAAAGTGCGAGAACAACTCTGAACACCCTCAGGTAAGAAGTGGGACAATCGTTTAGACCGCTTCGCGAAACAGAAGGCGATTGTCCAGGATTCCGGGATGCGGCTAATCATTGTATTATGGGTTGAATATCTTACCGCCATGGTTGCTATGCCGCAGCGTCGCCAACGCGAATACGAGCGAACCACCTGCAGATAGATGTGGTGCACAAGTATTGGTAGATCAAGAACGACTGGTCCATCAAAGTCTGACTACGAGACTAATTGATTAATGGATTATCTTGCGTGGAATCCAATGCTCACCGCGCAAAACATCTTCAAGCAGTAAAATGGGTAAAAAGGAGTCGGAGGACCGAGGGGCTGAGGGTCAGTCTGTTTCCTCTGTCGTCGAGGAAGACAAGACTCTCAGAGGCTATCGTGATGAGTTTGAAGGTCGTGGTTCTGTTACCTGCACTGTGCAGGATTGACTGGGCACCCTCAACCATTGCCCAAGTTGCTTGCGTGGTGCGAATCGTGAGGTGATGTCTCGTTTGGCTTGCTGCTGATTTGGTCATCGAGGCGCTAGATAAGATCTACCTTGCAGCTGTTTGCCCGGTCAAATCTAAGTTTTAATATATGTAGTAAATAATAAGATTGAAGACAAACTTGTACAGTTCACTGCCGGAATGTGTTTAGACAGAGATTCGTGGTACTTGGGGTGAGTCATGGCACATTTTTACTCACGAATACCCATATGTCCCTACCTCGAAAGAGTATGTGGTCTGGCTAGGGGAGCGTACCTGATACTGTTCGAAAGTAATCAGGCACTAACAGGCTTCATGGTAATCATATGGCACCAGGGGGTGTTCCGGGTCCAAGAAAACGGTATAATGGCCCGTTACAGCAGTGACTAGATGGCATGGCTCACAAATACATGGCCATCTCGTGATAACGTCTTCGTCAAGCTGGCGGAAGTAACATAGATCACGCGGGGTCGCAGTGGTCGAGGACAATCGAGGAGATCCATTTCTTAAAGATCATTTCAAAAACCAGCCTCTGCTAATTCAGACGAGAGTCTAAGAGAAAAGTGTACGGAGTACGGAGTACGTGTGAATGTTTTGGCTGATGGGCGGAGTTCGGAAACGCCCGGATAAGGACCCCGTAAGCACATATTGAGTTGAAATCCAGTTGCAAAACAAGACAGTCGAACTGACTCACTGAGTGACTTCCTTCAAATTGGTTTTTACTTTACTATTACTTTTACTTTCAGCATTCATGTAGCCTTAAATTCAGGTATCTCTGAGGAAGAATCCGACATCAATATCGTCTTTCTGATTTCAGTGAATCGCTGAGTATGGAATCAGGTGCTTACGGGGCCCTCGTGCGGGTATCGCAATCTGTATTTTCGCTATCAATCCATGTCACAACCAGGGGAGACGCTGACAAAACTGGTCCTTTGAAGGCCTTACGCGTACTGGTTGCAAAAGAAGTTCAGCTCGCGCAAACCACTAAAAATTTGGGGTTGGGAACTAGCACTCATGCCGCTACGATCGCGCATTCTCGAAAAAAATAAATCCTCAACTACTGCAAGTTACTGTCCATGGTGGCACCTTATTGTATCCGGTTCGCCGTCGAGACTACACGATTGTCAATGTGAGATTTTGACGCATGGACCTGCGGCGTCCTGGGCTCGGGCCCAAATAGTATTATCATATTCGAACTTTAACACGATGCGAATTCGAAGTTATAATTGTCATCACGATATCGATGGTTTAAATGCCAGCAGGGCGGCCCAAGTGCCACTACAAGTCTGCTCCCTGGCAAGTACTCTTCTTTACAGATTTACTAGCAGTTCTTCCTAGTCTCCCGAGGGCGACGCAATCATCAATATACGGTCATCATGTCGCAAGATACTGACAACGAAATATTGGGCGTCGTGTTACTCGTTCGTCACGGTGATCGACAAGGATTTTATCAAGACCCTGATACCTATACTGCAACTGGTACGGTGATCACTCCTCTGGGCAATGTACGTCAGTAATTCTGGATCATATGCACTGTATCTCATCGACTTTCTGTAGCAACAAGAGTATATGCTTGGTAGCTACCTACGTTCATTATACTTGAATCAGTCATCACCTTCGTACCTCCCTGGCATGAGCACAGGGCTATTCAATCCAGCCCAGGTGTTCATTCAAGCAGACTTTGGAGACGAAGGTGGAGTCATATATGATTCTTGTGTATCATTAACGCAGGGACTTTGGCCTCCAACACTCTCGAACAATGTCACTCTTGCTAATGGGACAAGAATCACAGCTCCCCTCGGAGGGTATCAGGTATGTGTTGCTTGTGATATGAGTCTCGCGTCTCCTGACTGGCATGTTGCAAAGTATATACCTAGTGAGTTCTTGCAGATACATCTGCAAGCGCCCAGTGTTCACACAGGGTAGTCAATGCTGTGAATCCCAACCTGAGTGTAACATTGGAAGGTTTCACTAATTGCAATGTTTGTCAACAAAAAAATCTTTAAATTTTCTCATAATGATGATGTTTTCCAGACCTTCAACACGCATACGACAGATTTTTATAATTCATCCATCTTTCAACAGATGGCTGAAAAAAGCACACCTTTCTTGCACTCTCTGCCTCCTTATCTAAATGGAAGATCAGTCCAGCTAGAGAATATGGTATGTTGCGAGCTAGTTACATTTCATCCGTATTCTGACCCCGATTGTTGTAGTGGAATGTATGCTTACCTGCGCTTGATGCAGCGACAGGCTGAACTCGCCAACAGATATTCGACTTTATGAATGTGAATAATATCCACAATGCCACCTTTGCCGAGGCTCTCCCATCCACATACATGGCGCAAGCACAAGCTTTGGCCAATTGGCACGAGTACAACGTCTTTAGCGACCAATCCATTGGAGGCATCGGGAACAGTACGTCTAGTTTTTTTGGGGAGAAATTACTGATTTGTGACATTCGTCCCTAGTTGCCGGTACGGCTATTCTGCCATCGATTCTTAGTGGATTTGCAAACATCATGGATTCTACAAATCCTGTGCCGTTATCGATTACGGCCATTTCATACAAACCTTTCATCTCCCTCTTTAATATGACAGGCGTTACTAGTGCAAACCCGAGTCTTGCAGGCATTGGTTAGTATGCCAGTTCCATGTCCATCGCGTGCTTTACTAACACGCAACCAGTCAACTATGCTGCTGCCGTTGCTTTGGAACTGCGTCAACCTCCTGGGGGTGGTGAACCTGTCATCCGTTTCAACTTCAAAAATGGGACCAGTGACGCAGCCTTCGTAACATACAACTTCCTCAACCTCACAGGAGATGTCCCATTATCTGCTTTCATTGATGCCGTGGCTGTGAGTCAAGGTGGCTGCTCTAAACTTACATCGTATTGATTTACTCCGCCAGCCTGTCGCGGTAAACACCACGGCAGATTGGTGCAGTGTTTGTGCCAACACCCAAGACATGCCTTGTTCTCCTCTTGCTCTTGCAACAGCACAAGGAGAAGCAGCTGCTCGACCCAAGATCAGTCCAGCCGGAGCCGGCGTCCTTGGCGCGGGTTTAACTCTTGCAGTTGTTGTATTAATGGGCATCACCCTGGTTTTCCTCGGACTGTTGACGATTGGTAAATTTGGGAGGCGGCGGTCAAGGCATCCTAACGCAGTATGTGATCTCTTTGCACGTTTGTTCCGATTGTATTTTAATGTAAATGTTAGTTCGTGCTCAAAGACACCTCAAGTATGTGACTCGGCCATGCGAAGATGAAGACGCTGAGGAATCTAAGAAGCTAAGAACGAATGTAGCTGTACGTTGTGACGATGTTGTATAATTGTGCAAATTGTAGTACAATGTGTGTGTTGTGTCCATCCTTATGCCACAAATGCAAACTCTATGAACAAATTCCTTACCTCCAATAGGTGTCTTCGTCACTCGGATTGTCGTACTGAAGATTGTCTTCCGCTTCAGAGCTTTCGTGAAATATATCTATGGGCAGATCTCAGACTAATTTTTGAATGAGGCTACGGAAAACGTACCACTTCCCTCACTGTCATCCGAATCATCCTCATCTGGATAGTCATTCTTGTAATATTCCTCAGCTGGGAAATGTCGTATCAGATGAAGGCTTTGATGCCAAACTACAGATATACCATTTGAGTCTTCGTCAGCATTATCTTCCTCCTCGGAATCCGAGTCACTAGAGTAAGGATCATCTAGTGAGGGAGGAAGGCCTTCACTACAAGCACAACAACATTTCAGCCAATGACATCATCGCGCATTAAGCTAGGTAACTTACAGCGTTCCAATATTAGCAACTGAATTCCATTCACTGAGGGTGCAAGGGCGCCTGTAGAACACGTCCCAAACATAGTCCTCCACTGGGGGAGCAGCTGAGAGAACTTGCGAGGGCTCGTCATTCACTGGGAACCATGGGCATGGGCATTCAATACATCACGAGAAGGAAAGCTTACTTCGCAAGTAATTTTGTAGCATGGGTAAGAAATTTTCCATGTCGGAGTCAAAGTTGGGAGACGCAGGCTTCGTATCAGCTGGAACGGCATCGTACATCCTGAAGTCACTTTGCAATTGAACATCTTTCGCAGATATGACCTTTGGACTATCCTAGGTTAGACGATCATCTGGCAACATCATGGGAAGACTCACGGACTGGTAGCAAACTTGGTATTTTCAGTAGATTCGCGTGTAGGAACGATTGTGTAGCGTCTTCCCTCATCAGCTAATTGTCGATGGCGTTGGGCCCCAGACAGGTTCGTGACATCCGCAGGTGCCGAGGGCTGGATGTTATGTTCATCGTGGCTTTGCGACAATTTCGATATTTGGTTCTGCAGGGATGATAGAACTCCTATGAAACGCGAACGCGACGAGTGTTAGAACGTAACTCACCTGTAGCGTCTCCTGCAGTTGCTTATCCTCCCAGACGGTCTTCTCAACGGTCTGAACAAACTGAAAAACATCGCGACCACCTTTTGACCTCTTTTTGCGAACCCGGGACTCGACGACTAATGTTACATAAGAACTTGACTTTGCGAACGGGTGGCACGAGTAACACACCAAGTGCGTCGAGCGGTTCATCCGTGCGTTTGCGCTTGATACGCACAATCGTGTACGGATGGTTATTTGACTGAGCATCCATCATGGTTCTAATGGATGAAAGCTTGGTGCTGTACGGCGCTTAATGCAACTGAGAGCAACAGCGATTATGTCATCGAAATGGAATTTCGGTTTATGTATTGTCGAGTTGTACTACATCATGTATGACAGAATAATTCAATCCATATAAGCCATAATGAAGCTTGGAGCTTAAGCTTGAAGTACTGCTGTCGCAAGATAAATAGTTCAGAGTAATTTCCAAAAAAAAGTTTGCAAACCTCGCAGGACTCGGCAGGAGCCAGGCTGTCACGGTAGCAGCACTTTAAAGCTTAAACTCGAAGTACTACTATATTTGTAGAAGGCCGGTGAAGTGGTCCTTTGTGATATGACATGGACAAACCGCAGCTCTATGCAGCCAGAGACGAGTAACATCGTTGGAGTGGTATGTTCCAGGAGGATCAGACAACATGACCTGAAAATCCACTCTTGTATAGAGTGCCTACCTGGCACTTCGAAAGAAATTCAACGGTGTCATGTTTAACACCGCGATACAGTACAAATGCAGCCGCTTACAGTTCTTTATAGCATTCGTTTTATCACCTCCTCACCCGTCATATCACAATTCTTTCAAGCGTTCTTTTATTGCCCTCTCACTCATTATCGCCCACTGCACCTTGTATGCCGGGTTCGCCAGCTGTTCGCCAAGCGCCTAAGATAAGTTCCACGATGTCGTCGACGCCTTTGTCGTTCTTTATGCTCGTGAAGATAGTTGGGCCGTCTCCACGCATGAGTTTCGAATCACGTCTCATCACATCAAGAGATGCGTCAACATATTGCGCGATGTCGATCTTGAACCTCTGCAGTGAGGAGATATGATATTTGAATGAATTTTTTGACTAACCTTGTTGATTACCAAAAGGTCAGATTGCGAAATTCCTGGTCCACCTTTACGGGGAATCTTGTCTCCTCCCTGGAAATGCACATGAGACAGAACTTCATCGAGAGTCTGACAGACATACCGCCACGTCTATTACATATATGATGTAGTCAGCTAATTCCCGGGAATAATTGGCAGCTAAGTTATCTCCTCCACTTTCCACAAAAAGGAGTTGGCAGCCAAACTTCGCTTGAAGTGTCTCCAGAGCACCCATGTTCGCACTAATATCCTCGCGGATTGCCGCATGAGGACAGCCACCAGTCTCAATGGCTAGGATACGAGGCGTTGGGAGTGCCTTATTCTTGATAAGGAATTCTTGGTCTTCGCGAGTGAAAATGTCGTTCGTCACAGTAGCTGAGTGTATTGAAGTTTCACAAAATGCAGAAGATCATAATATATTTTCTCACCGATGTTATATTTACTACGAAGCTTCTTGCATAACGCAAGGGTTAAGGCTGTTTTACCGGAACCAACAGGGCTGTATGGGGTGATCGCTGTAGGTACATAGGTATCGTAAGCTTGTCGACTTACCCACCAATTCCGATAGTAAAGCCTCTTTCTTGGAAGTTTCGTAGAGAGTAGTCTGGAAGATCCCGCTCCGAGAATTTACCTAAAAGAAAGTGAATATAACAAAATTACTGGTATTGACCATACGCTCGATGACGAAACTAACCTGGGTGATCTAGGTGCTCGTGTGTATGTCCGTGGTCGCCATGATCGTGAGTGTGAGGTACACCACCAGGTTCGTGCGAGTGAGCTTGACTTGACTGGTTTAGATTGTTGATGAATTGAACACTCATAATCAATGTTAAACTAGTGATAATGCAATGATCAGCGTTTCAAACTCAATATTAATGATAAGTAGTAGCGGAGTCTGCCGGCGGGTGCTGTAGTAGTAGCCCATCCGCGGTTTGTATAAAACATCAAAAGCATTACTGAGTACTGAGTCGTGCCACATGAAGCGCGCATCACGGGCCCTGGTAACTTACTCTAGCTCAGAAGATGATGCTCCAGCCGATGCTCCAGAGAGAAAGAAGAAGTTGACCATTTCATCATCTCTCTTTGCCACATGCTGCTCAATGTACGCACAGGAAACTACCGTCGCTTGCATCATCCTTCATCGTACCAGTACCTGTCGATAATCCTGCTCTTCATCAGGGACGAGTTCGTGCAACCCCACACGTAGAAGGCCAATATGCCGCATATGTTTACATTCCCCTCGCCGTGCACCCTGGAACTGCATTGTACTCGTTGATCGATGAAGTACTGGACATCGTCAAGGAAATGGTCCCGGCCGCTCATGCCATAGGAGAAATTGTCTCATGTAGTAGCAATACTAGTGGCTTGGTAGTCGATAGCTCTCGCAGGGTGCGGGAGCTGCACTTGTCATTGACTCGACCGATATTTCTTCGCGCCCATCAAAGAGAAGGATTCAAACGAGCCATAAAGCTGATTGCTTCGCGCCGAACCCCGTACGCCACATGTACAATCCATTGAATACTTGCAGTTTCTTATCGTTTGCGAAGTTTTCAGGCTTCATTTGCAACGTTTTCCGAACTTGAAAACGATGAACGAACGAGGGCGTTCCTTTCCCTCGAGGTAGGAGCCGGTCATAATGAAGTTCGTCCCAGTGACATCAACGTGATTCCAAACTGACTTGTTGTAGCTGAGGGATTTGCTATCCGCACTGTCGCCGACCCTTCAATCATTGCGTCAACGAGATTTCTACAGCCAACCACGGTTCCACGTTTCAATAGCATGGGTTCTTCTGGACCCGAATACATCAGTGAACGGTGACACCGACACCAAAAGACATTCTCGCGTTTATGAAGGGGTCACAATAGTGGAAGGCACATCGGACAACGACTTAACCAGTAACGGGGACATCGGGGAATCTAATAAACAATTTCAGGCCAAATGTTTTCCGCGTGTTCCGCACTTTCCATCTGAGCTAATCCCGACGCTAAACCAGCGATTCGGTGCTAGAGTCTCATCCGCCCACATCGGAGGGTTCGATGCGGATACCATTGTAGTGAAGATCGGAAAAGATATATTTTCATGGCCATTTCAAGGCTCTCACGTCAATTGAATCGATCCATAACATACGTTCAACTGTGATGTACAGAAAAGAAAGGTGTCGTCTGACTGGCTCAAGCAATGTTAAATCATATTGGGCCATTCACAAGGCTTGATAACAATAGCTACGTTCCTTCCACTTCCTGTTGCCTGGTCAAACAGGTTTACCAGTTCAACGTCCATTGGGCTTGATTCCTGTGTTTCACTACTTCGACTCAACTCTTCCCGAATCCATTCATGCCTATCAAGGAGGATGAGGGATTCTATCAGAGGTCCCATGATGCACCTTAACACGTGCAATACCGACAAAGCGCTTTCCAACTGCATTCGTCTATGCTTGTCATGAATATAAACGGGAAGCTGTGTTGCAATCTGGTCGAGTCGAACGCCAATCTTCGAAGTTGCACGATCCAGAAATGTTTCCCAGTCCTTGTATGCAGCATCAGGGAGCTTTCCCAACCGCCTATTTTCCTGTGTTTGACCTACGCCGCGGAGCTCTTCGACATCATATGATGAAGAGGTTGCAGTATGATTTGCGGAGGCTTCTAGTGCACCAATTTTTTGAAGGACAGGCTGAAGGAGGGCTCGAAAAACGACCTTCCGTATTGCCAGAGATGTTTCACGGGCAGACGTTTCATTACGGAGCCATTGAGATGGTATCTGTGCAGCCAAATGGCGAGAGGCAAGGGGAAGTGTTGCTACTGGGACTCGCTCACGCAGCGACCGTGACAGCGGAAAATCTACCAGTGCAGTTGTAGCAAACCTCGCCTAAACCAGCCATAAAAACCGATGCTCACCCTCAGACACCATCAGGTTGTAACAGCATCCTACTACGACGAGTGCCTGTGCCGTCCAAATGCGAATACCGGGGGCTGAGGGTCTACGGTAATTAGACAAGAACACGCGAAGGACATCAGGCGTGAGTGATCCACAGGCGTGAAGGGCAACCATCATCACAGGGACAGGCTTCTCCTCAGGTGTGCGTCGCTCAGTCCTATCGACAAGTAAATCTCCGATCATATTAGTACAACCAGCGATTTGGTTGTCTTCACCGGAGAGAAGCCAATCATGAATTGACGATTCAAGTGTACGGGGATTGATGCAGATTGTCTGATGGGTAAGAGAACCCGTACGGCTGTGTATTATGTTTTTGCTGGCAGTGGAAGCCGAAGGCACAGAGGTTGCCACGTGTGATTGGAAAAGGGGATCGTTGTAATGATGCTGCGAGTCGGGCAAGCTCTGGGCGTCCTTTCCCCTTTTAAACTGCTTCTGCCTTCTTGCCGCTTCTTTTGCTTTCCAGCGCTCAGCCCCAGAGGTCTGGATTTCATTGGAATCAAGAGCCAGCACATGGAAACCTAAATTCTGAAGCGCACGAGACAGATATCCCTGAAAATAAAACCATTTATTATTGGGCAAAGCATTCCTGTAACTTTTAAGATGGAAAATAAGCACAAAAATACTAACTTGTCCTGAACCCACATCAACAACATGATTTAGTGTATCCGTAGAACCTGGGCATAAAAGTTGGTCGATGTATCCTGACATCCTGGAGACCTCGTGCTCTTTTTTTGGTGACATGCCATACGATCGATGAGCATTTCCTGGACATAGAAAGCATTACGATGAGTCAATAAGTGAGAAAGCTGTTCAGAGCGCCTGATCATAGGTCTCTGAATTGTGACTAACCCGACTCGGAGGTGTTCCCGATGGAAATACGATCTCTACTCAACTGGACGCGGACAGTGTCATCGATGAGCACTTTCAAATCGGGCGGGATCTATCGCAAGATGAGCATGCTGTCTGCACGCGCCGATCATCACAAAGCAAGCCCACTGAAGATTTATTACTCGGGACTTGGTTCCCCGTCCGCTGGTCATCTGGCGTCGCAGAATAGTAATGGAGAATCGACATCCACCTTGGGAAGTACGGTGTGTTTTCATCATCTATTGATGTAGCCCATTCCCACCAACCCTTCCAATTTCCAGGAAGCTGAAAGCCAGAAGCTGCCAGGTCGTTCGGATGGATCGAGAGAAGCTCGGAAGCCAGAGGAGAACATAGCTGCTGATATATCGGTTCGAGTTTCGACATTAATTCAGTGGATTGGCGAAGAAGACTGCAGCATCAAGTTGATTCAAATAAGTCACGGCGAAGCTTCAATCGGGATTGTAAAGGAACGTGAGAGACGTTTTCTAAATATGAACATATAAGCTTTAAGCCCCGCGTTTTACCACTGAGAGCCCCATGTCAGTTACAACTTGTAATTAAGCTCAGGTATCCTCCTCTCAAGTCATGTCTTGAAAGACATAATACACTTGCTCATCAGGCAATACCTCCTTGCACATGCTTCGCGGCCTATTCTGCTCCGTCGCTACCTTTTGGTAATCTCGCGGAGATGCTATGCCATCAAGGAAACCACGATCTCCTTCAAGCTAACTGGGAGGCTCGGTATGGTACAACTTATGGTCATAGAATGTCTTTGAAGACCTCGGCTGTTGGAGACCGACCTGACTGTTATCGCTTACATACCGGAGAAGTCTGACATTTACCATAAACCCGACTTCGTTTGCGACAACCTGGCCAGTATGAGTGCCGACGAATTCGGAGTGCTGATAGTGACGCTTCAAGGGGCCAACACAAATCACAGGGTCAGGCTTGTTCATCACGCTTAGTAAAATTGTAGTCACTTACAGGATTGAAATCACAGCGGAGAATATCGGTCAGTCATGATATCATCCGACACCAGTGCGTCAATGTTGGCTGCAGCGTGGTTATGGTCCGCCCGGGGCCTCCACGTTCCCTTTACGCGGAAAAAGTTTTCTCCCGTTCGATGAAACCTTGAATGTGCACTGCAAAAAAAATTACTGGTTATGTTCACACTGCTTCCGTTATTTTAGGCTCCGGCATTCACGGCTGCGTATATTAAAACTCTCTATCCAGTGTTTTCGGACAGAGCGGATCAGGCAAGATCATAGCCCACTGCCGATCTAAGTACGTCTTTGCAGCTGCAGGATATTTCGATTCAGGCCGTCCAAGAGCATGGTCCGCAATCCATGAATGGCATTGTCTGGTTATAAAAAGCAACTTGGACGTCATTGAACTTGCTGGTAGTTTTTTGTAGACTTGTTATATTCATGAAGTATTGAACATTACCCTTACAGGGTTTGGGCACCATGGCAATCCAACGCCTCAGCAGGGGCAAACGACAAATTAGCCAATGCCTACTATGTAATCTTCACTGCTGCACGGCAACTAGCGCTTAGACCTATATTCGAGACTTGGATACCCCTGCTAAGACTATTTGTGAGCGAGTTATCTCTTCCGCTACTAACGAATCTTGCCCTGTGGCGGAGTCGTTAATCAGCGGCGTCGCACATATGCACGTGCATCTCAATTGCATTGCGCTATAGCTTATCGCCTTTAGGACGTTTTTACGAAAAGGAATGTTCCAAGACAAAGGGACCTCCTGACCGTTCTTGGTATGTTTCAGCAATTTACCGCCAATGCAGTGGCCTCCAATCCCGAAGCCTCCGATTCTCAGCACATGAGCACAGACTAAATTTTCTGTCAGATTTTGACTTTTCTGATCGCAGGCTATGAAACAACGTGCTCCGCACTGACATAGTGCCTGTATACTCGGGCCAAATCTCCAGACAGACAGAGAGCGCTTCGCAAGGCTCTTTGAATAGTTCTTATCAATTCGCCGAGTCTTGACGATAATGGTGGGAACATACAGTATCTCGACTGGGTTTTTTGCGAGACATTCAGATTGCATTGCCTCAGTAACCTGGATAATGAGAGTTGCGACCAAGGATGACCAAATATCAGCGGTGAAAACCTTTCTCGACAGGAGTGGGGAGTCCAGATTTTCTATCAAGATTAGAAAGCATTATTATCACCATACCTATTCAGGCCATCAACAAGAAGGACGCGTGGAGCGAAAACGCTCACTCTTCCAGGCACGTTCCCTCGCATTCCATCTTATTTTGCCTGACAGCGCATCGAGACAGGCCTGAATATTGAACGATGGCAGAACCTTCCTGAGCAAGTTAAAGAAATCCAAGGACTTTATTCTGACATGCTTACGTTCCTGAATGAGAGTCATGGAGGCATCGGCTTCATTCAGGTTTGCCATCGCAAAGTAGGTGCCTTCTGCTTTCTTAGTGTGAGGCGGACCGCTACTCACTGCGGGCCTTGCACTTTGCTTTCCCATGAACACGCGGTCACATACTAGTTCTCCTATGTGTTATCGCGCACGCGAACTTGTCCCGTCAGGTACGGTCATAAGATAGATGGATTACTGATCGAATTATTCCGCCGTATCATTCTGTTTGTAGAGTTGCAAGTTGGTTTGATATTTTTGGCTCCCTAGGATCAAGACATTCCTGTTCTCGTGAGCTTGGATTTCTATAGACGCTCCAATGGCCGTTGAGAGGCGTTCAAGTAAGTGTCCGCTCTTGCATTTTATTTTATATTTTGTGGCATCAGATTATTGTCATTTGGGTGCCCATGCTGGACACTTCCCGTCATTCATGCCGCGCTCTGGCAGTTTCCGTCTGTTTCTTTTAATTCCCTCGGGTAAAAATGATCGAAGATATTCCCCGCCACCCTATTCTGTTGATTTTGTCAAATTTTCCCTTCGCTTCTTTGTTTTTGATTCCTGCGGTATGACACACGCTGCAGCTATTTCTCTCGTGCAGTGTCGTCCTTCTCGCTGTGGTAAAATCAGAGGCCATGTTCTGGAAGCTACACGTCATTTATCCCGCATCGAAGGATGACATTGATCTTGTCACTGCGCGCGTATCAAGTACGGCATCGTGAATTCACGCCAGGGTTGCTGGAAGTACCCACCACCACCTATTTCGCCAGGTTCGTACCCTCTCGAGGATTTTTGACACCAATTTTCGGCGGCCAGTTCACGCATGAGAGACCAACGGCAAGACATGTCGTATGCGCTTCGCCTGATTGTCGTTCTCGACCTTTTAAGCGAAGGATGGGAGAGGTGCCTTGCCACTTATCTATATGTTTTTTTGGGCAATCTTTGGGTGTGTTTTTGAAATACTATTATTCCTCATTGTTTTTTGGCGTGATCTTCCCCTTTCCATTCTCGATAGCTGTGCAATCAATATACCAATAGTACGTACGGTGCGGTGCATTTTCTCCGCACAAATGAACTAAAGTCAGATATGAAGGCTAAAGTAACGCCACACCGTTCCTGCACTTACATCACATTGTTGTACTGAATCGAGCGCGGAGTGGAGTTCCTGAAGCGCCTTGAATGGGATAAATGGGGGCGATGCGTAGCCATCCCAACGGGGCGGTGGCCGTTTTCAGGAGCTTTCGCCCCTCACGTGAGCATGTACACGCTCTCGTCCTAAAAGTGATAAAGTTAAAGCGCTTGGCGCCGTAACGAAGGAGTCAACGGATCGAAGGAGGTGCACAAATGGTGATCTGGGCCCTCCGCACTGTCGCCCATTTCTCACCAGTGTACCGCGACCGTGTCGTACATATGAGGACAGTCCTTTTGCGGTTAGCTTCGGTTAGGTCATGATGATCGGCGATGAGTCGACTCCAGCGGTCGAGCTTGCGGATTGATCCACGGCATCTTCTGCAAACTTTCGGAACGTATTTTCCCCAGCAGGTAAAATGAAGTTGGTGTCCTGAGTTAGCAAATCGCTAGCCCTTAGCGCCGAATGATGGTGATCCCGAACGTTCCAACTCAATCGCACACTGCCATCAGACGGTCCGGAACCTACCCGGAATGGGGAAATATCACATCCCGAGGTGTTAATATCAAATAATGCAGGTAACGGTCTGATTACTTTAGGACTTCGCAGTACCCAGATTTCATTATGAAAAAGGGAGATCCGGGCTCAGCATAAGAAGCAGCGCGCTGAGAGATAGAACCCCAGAACACAGGAATCAAGAATCAAATCGGCTGCAAGCGGGCAGACACGAGAGGTTCCGCAGGATCATGTGCAACACCGCAGTGGGAGAAATATGTCGCAACAGACTGGGCCCGAACCCGGTGAACAAAAATTTAATTGTTTTATTGGGATGTGCAATTTTAGTGGCCAACGAAGAACACTTGGCAAAGGCTGGAGTGTGTGATCTCAAGAAGTTGATACGAGTAGTACAATGATTAGGTTGCTTTAGGTAGTCAGTAATAATAATATTGTTACACGAACGTTGTTTTTCGATAAAACAAAGGCATCCACATAGGATTCAATGTTGTTACAGCGTCGTGGTCACTGTGGAGCTGAATAAGCAGGCCCAGCATTTACAGATGGATGCAATGGTCCTTCGCTATAGTAGGAATGCGACTGCGAATCCGCCGAGTGGGCGGGCAACCTCGGCGAGCTCTGGGATGGGCTTGAAATGAAGCCAGGAGACAACGACGAATGATGATGCTGTGCAGAATACAACGAAGATTGATTGTGCATGTTGTGAGACCCAAAAGGGTTGGGTGGAAGGGAGGGGGGTGCGGACATCGGAACGCCTGATGGAAGATAGCCGGACTGCCCTCCACTCCCAGAGTGATGGTTGTGTCCAAGATTGTAAGTGGACAGCCCAAGTCTATTCTGGGAGTAGTCTAGACTGCCGCCGCCGCCGCCACCACCACCAGTGTAGTGAGCTGGGCGTGCGAGAAGTTGTCGGCCACTTCCGCCGAATTCTGCAGACGCTGAGTTCTGGTGGCCGTGGCCTCCTTGCAGCGACTGGAGAGACATGGGGTGATACAACTGCAGACTTTCTGCAGGCAGTGAAGCACGACGCGCAACCGGATCTAAGAGTGAGGAAGCGGGCACAGTGCGAGTGGAAGAGGGATATGGGGCAGAGGTGGTAGGTCCCTGTGCTGCTCGGTGGGCGGGAGCTAAAATCCTGCGGCGAGCCTGCGAGTTATGTTAATTAATTGAATGACGAGGAGGATAGGTAGAAAATGCGGACATTAATCATCCAATTGGACACTTGGCTCATGCTCAATCCAGTGGCATGGCAAAGCTGCTTTTTCTCCTCCTCGCTTGGGTATGGATGATCTGAGTGACGATGCAACCAGGCCTTGAGATAATCTGTGGTTTCCTTGGGCAACTTGCCCCTCTTCCGCATGGGGCGTTCAGCTAATGTAGATGGAGCAGACGGAGGGGAGTGAGATGTAGGAGAGGAGGTTGTTGCCGGGACTGGTGCTGCGGAGGGTACTGGACTGTTCGTCGTATTTAATGACGGACTGTTTGAGGAAAATGCATAATCCTGATTAGAAAAATTCCAGTCGTCCTTAGGTTGAGCTGAGGAGGGGTAGAGTCTACGATCCTGTTGGTGAGGAAGACGTGGAGTAGCGGAAAACATCTGGGAAGTGCTAAAGGAGGACTGTCTGACGTTGTCGTCGTACTTATTGAGGGTGTTTGGTAACTGGCCTGTCGAGCTTGGGCGAACAATACCAGAGGGGGAGTCGTTCCAACTGTCGGATTCTATGTATCCTGAAGCAGGGACGCCCTGAGGTTTGATGTCAGGGGTGAGGGGCGATGTGAAAGTGGAAGAGGGAAAATGGGAACTGGGGGTAGTTGTACTGGAAAGGGCTGTATTTAGGTATGAGGGGGAGTCTCCGTAGGAGTAATTGAGATGTGTGTCAGCAGTCAAGCGAGGACGGCTAGAAGATTTATCTTGGAACTCAGAGGTATCGGAAGGAGGTGGGAAATGGTATGAACCGAGACTGGACTGGTTAGAGGACGCGTGCGATGCGCGACGGAGATGAGTGGGAGGGTATGGAGCGGATCGGTAGCGAGGATTTGAGTCTTGTGAAAGGGCAGGTAAGGAAGCACGACGAAAGGGATCCTCAAAGGTAGTAAATATGGAAGGTAATTGTACCTTTGAATTGTCGAGACCAGTCTCTAATGCCTTGTCGTCTTGTTGAGGACTATGATGAGTAGAGTCAAAGTGCCAGGAAGACTGGTTGTCTGAGGAGAAGGAAGGACGGGTTCTGAGGGGTTGTGGGGAACTAGAGGGAGACAAGGGACGCTTTTCAGGGCGAGAGGCTGCACTGCTCTCTGTCTCTGCCGAGACGGTAGAGCTTGACATTCGACGAGTAGGATAATCAAAGTCGGAGTCTGTGGGACTAAAGTAAATATAATAAACGAGACAAGTCAGATATGGGGATCGGGAGGCGGCAAGACAAGGCACGAATAACCCACAGGATAGCCGGAGAGGCACAGTTTGATAAATCGTCCGAGAAGGGAACAGGGTCGACTTTTGGACCAAGTCTGAAGATGGGGGTCAACTGTGCAGCTCTTTGATGTGATGATGATGATGAGAGAGGAAAGAAAGATTGTAAAACAATATTTGACAAGACATGATCTTGACATATGACAGTCGGATTATGAAATCTTGATTGGAATAGAAATTAAAAAAAACTGGATTGAAATTGATACTCACTGTAAGGATAATTGTAACTGAGCGACGTTGTAAGAGCTGATAGCGAGGGGAGAACTTGACTGTTGCTCAATCATTTGTAGAGGACGAGGGTGTAATGGGAGGAATGGTAGTAGATAGATTGATGGACGGGATTTTAAATAAAGAAAGGGAAAGGAAATCCGAGTCGGGAAAAGAAAGAAAAATGAAATTATTAAAGCTGGAATAAGCTATGAAAAAAACCCGAAAGACAACCTTCGAGGCACCCCTCATGGGAAATTGAACCCTTTCCTCCACAGCCGATACTCAATCCCGACATCAGCGCGTCATCGTCACATAACACTTTCAGCGCGCGGCGAACGCTTGTCGGTAGCGAATAGCATCTACTTCGGCAAATCACATCAGCGGCCCTTTGCCCGAGCGTCTATATAAGTGTAATCGGGGTGGTATACACCCCCGAGTTTATTTGATTTTAATGTGGTAGAAATTGTAAATTGAGTACTAAAGATGAATTGTTGTTGGGGTAAAAAAAGATGGGCTGTGCAAATTAATCAACCCAATTAGAATACTTCTTTTTCATAAAAATTGGTTTTTTTTTTTGCCCACAGGTTAGCATGCGAATACCTCCTCGGTCCCGTTTTCTCAGTTTCAAACGATTTTTTTCAGATTGGAAAGTCTTTGATCTCACGAGTTGTGTCCTGTCAAGTTGTAAGTTCTCGACACGGTACCGTAATAAAAAAATACTCACGACCGAGTCGTAACCAAAGGCCAATCAAATAGAATCAAATATGTATCATAGATACTTAACGTACCCCACATATAGTTATATTATTCAATCTTATACGCCTCGAGGGGCCCAAGTTTCAGATCCTTCCAGCGCTACACCTCCTTCAGGCACTCTTTCAATGCGCGGACTTCATTTCTCCCCTTAAGCCGTTCCAATAGGGTTCACTTACGTTTCTCTGCACCGCCAACGGTCGGTAGCCTTCCACAATTAGTATACAGCTCTTCCACATTTCCGATGGCGGCCTTCCGCATCGATCCTTTGCTCCAAGACCATACAACAAACCTAAAATCATCGTCACCCTCGTACTTACCCCCACTAAGCTTCGGGATCGACTCTCTCAGATCATTTTCGAATCATCATCGCTTCAAACCATCATCCCGTTCCATTCACGTAACAAAGTTCCACTTAGGATACCTACAGTATGATATATTGTGATCTACAAACACCGCAAATACATCACAATGCAAACACCCCAATTCGATCAATGCAGTGGAGTCGGTCACCTTGTGCCACCAGCGCCGATTGTCCCTGACTTCCCCTTACTCCCCTTAATTTTACTCTTGGCCATCATCCCCTGCAGCAATTGATCAGCCTTCGTCCGTTCCTTCTCCGAAACCTCAACTCCATCCAACATCCCTATCCTGGGACATGCTCGCATGATCAGCCCTCGATATGCAAGGCGGCCGACATATGCATCATCCGGGAGGTCCCGGCGGAACTTCGAGTCTAGTTCTTGCCATCCATATTCTCTGCTTCCCTTCTCACCCCTGAGCTGAACATCCTCAGTTCTCTCAGATGGTTGTAGTGCCCCTGGTAAGTCTTTCACCAGAAGCGGTAGATACCACCCAAGTGTACACGGATTCATCCTGCGTAATCCATCAGCATTTAACACACACCTAAAGGGTCAATCTAGGGTCAAATTTCTCACCTGAAATCAACCATTTCCACATCAGGCATACGCTGTAATATGCGGATCAGCTGTTTAGTCCCCTTCAAGCGCGAACCAATCATAGTCAGCTTCTTAAGTCTGGTAAGCCCCTCAAGGGAGAGCGCATCATTCAAAAAGTTGTAGTTGAGATTCAGGACCCTTAGGTTTGGCGTTAGACGCGCGAGATCCTGTGGGAGAGAGGTGAGCCGGCAAGCGGCTACCTCAAGGTACAGCAAATTGTAACAGGGCTCGTCGATGAAGTCACTCTTGAGTTTGTTCCCTAGAAAACGGATGAGCCCTGCCTCAAGTGACCACAGTTTTGCTATACGGACCAGAAAGGTATAGTCGCTTTACATCGCGGAACTGCCGGGTAGAAAGGTAGCTGTAGATCACATAGCCATCCCATCATCAAGGGAACAAGGAACGGTATAATGAAGTGTTCCGTGAATGACGTTAACCCAAACACCGAGGTGCTGTGCACTCACAATCCACAAGAAGTTTGATTTCGCATGCTAAGATTCTCCAGCTTACAAAGGCGTTCCGCCTTTACGAGAGTGTCGAGAAAATTGTTGTCCAGGTAAAGCGTGCGGAGGTTTGGGAATGGGGCTATGTTCAGGCGCCTCAATCGGTTGCTGCTAGCTCGAAGGATCCGTAATCTTGGCATGATGCCACCAGGCTCAATATTGTCCACTGTATTATTGTCTTCAGGAACCTGCGCTTGTTATCCAGGGCCCCATGCAATATGTAGTTAAATTACACACCGACATTGAGTGCAATTAGTGCAGGTAGGCTTGATGCCAAGTTCAGGATACTGCAAATACAGTTCCCGCTCAGGTTTAGCATCTCCAAACGCGGCCTATATGTTTGTTGGTCACTAGGGAGTAAAAGATAGGAGGCTTGGAAAGATTCGATCGTACCATCGATATTTGGCAAAATCGGCTTCTTGAATTTGGTTGCCTTGTAGACTGAGCTTGGTCAGCCCATCCAATTTCTGAAGGCCGTCGATGCTGGTAATGTGATTGCCATCAGCTCGTAGCTCCCTCAAGTGCCGAAGACACTGCAGTTCTGGAAAAACATATTTGCCTGTCAGCTCACTTTTGTCGACACGGTCCTCAGTACCCACGTGTTAAGGAGTCGATGTCATTATGACTTATGTCAAGGCTTTCAATGTTCTGCAGGTAACTAAATGAAGTGACACCTGTCAATCTTCAAAGGGCGCGATGTCAGTGGAAGTAACTTGAATTTAACAAAAAGCCTACAAGTTGTGAGCGACAGAAAGCGTCCGCACAGAATTGGGGATGCCGCTCAGCCATGACAGCTGATTATGATTTCTAATTCGGAAGACGTCAGCAGCCGTCGGTATTTGCTTCCGTAGGTAGCAACTCACAATACTAGAGAATCTAGCTTCGGTAGAAACTCCTTCAGTCGAGTCACACCATCCAACGACTTGCGAGAGAGATCAATACTGTGCAGCTCGTCCCAGTGTGGCTCAAATGGCTGAACATCCGTGATCACCTGCACGAGTCGGTCATGCGCCAAACCAAAGGAGCACTCAGTCAGGAAAGTAGCGTTTGTCTTCTGGTCCTTCCCACTTAAACGACTCTTCTGTAACGTTGAGAACACACAATGGGTCGATCCACTACAATCGGCGATAGCCATTTGACTACTCGGCCGCCTAGAAGCGAAAGGTTGAAGTTCTTCTGTCGGTGGACGGCCCGAACTTGATGACTTGGTGGGCGACACGTTATCAAACCCTGCCATACATCAACATTGAGCAACACACTTGCGGCATTATGCTAACTCACCAGGGTTTTCTAAGTTCTCCATCATCTCCGCTATGCGTCTGGACCTTGCCGAAGGAATGAATAGCCCCTGTGCAGGGTCATGCTCTGAAGTACTCGTAGCCAGGCTACCCACATCGTCATCACTCTCGTGGCCTTTTGGATTCAGGCCCCGTATAGGCCCGTCCCTCTTTCCATCAGAAAAACTTACGGAACGACAGTGGCCGAGTCGCTGCGCCGGAGTGCCGTGCCGTTCACGGCTCGGGTCCTTCATAGCGGACACGGGAGTGACGCTCGTGCTCTTCAGGGCTGAGCGGGGCATTGGAGTGGTGAGCGATAATGACCGACATTGTGGCGCAACTGGCGTAGCTACCGCAGTAGAGTTCGAAGCAGGCCGGATGGACAAAGGAGCTTGCAGTTCAGGAGAGCATTCATCCTCTGATTCAAAGACTGCAGCAGCGTCCTCGCCTTCACCCCTAAGCGCAGTTCCATGACGATTGTCTGATTCAGAATGACTTGTTTGCACTTCCCCCTCTCCTTCCGAATCATCCGATGGCATAATGCGGACAGCCGCGATCGATGGCCCGTCGAAGGAAAAGGATGTCAGGTCAACTTCTTCCTGATCACTTAGCTCCACATCCCCTTCGACCTCCTCAACGCGACTGATCTCCATCTCATCATGCTCTCCTCCAGTTTCAGGGATATCACCTTCAACATCTATGTGCGCGCTTCCATGCGTATCCCTGGAGTCATCTTCCTTCAGGCTCTCTATGTCTTTGAATGGATCCTCACTATCTCCATCTGTGCCGGTGCAAGTTGTCTGATTGCGTTGGTCCTCGGCATCTGAGGCCGCATGGGTAGCGACCCTCACCCACTTCATGAGATCCTTGTCATAGACCATACGCCCGACTCTCTGTGGGAGAGCTGGTACATCCGATGGCGCAATGCGGGTAATCTGAACTGGACCAGCATGTTTTACGAACGAGGGTGCACTGCTCGTCGTGGTTATGGTTCCAGAAGCTGTGCTAGAGGACACCATCCTGTTAATATCCTCATTGGGGCCAGAGCGGGTCGAAGATGAGGGATACGAAGAAGGGATCTGTTCACGAGCATGTGCCATAGAATGCTGACTTGTCGAAGGAGTTACCCGAATGTGCGGGACGTTATTGAGACCTGCGTTAGGTGTGATAGACACGGATGTAACTAGATGCTGCCAGGGTGCTTCAATGGACATATTGGACATTTCGTGCTCCAAAGTTCGGTCAGCATCCTCAATGATGGTATTGCGCGACGCTTTCCGTGGACTGCGGTAGCTCTTGGAGGAAGATGACGGCCTGCGGGGTGACCCGAACTTATTGACTTTCTTCTTGCCGAGGTTAACTTGAGATACGGAGCATACACTGTCGCACGAGCGTTCGATACGTGAAATGTCGTCCGCATGGGTGAGATGGGATATGTCAGTGGCACCCGAAAAAAGACGTTTTGACCCTCGAATATCATTTTTGATCTGCTGCATCAGACTCGCTGCTTGATGGCGATATGCAAGAGACGAATGATTACTGGGAGCAGTTATGGCTGTTGATGAACTTGTAGTAACCGCGCTACGATCATCGGGGACGCGAAGGGCAGAGGTACCAGTCCCTATGCAAGTGTTGGTGATTGACATGTACATACGCCAATGATTTACATACCTGATGAAGGCCTGGACTGCGCGTTAAGAGCCTCAGCTCTATCGTCGGCTTGGCTTTCGGGGGATTGCAGACCTGCCGTAGTAGATATCGTGGAGAAATCGCGTGCGGCCTTGATCTGTTGCATGAGGGAACGAGACTCGCCAACATAGTCTACCCTTGAGACCATTGGCCTCGCGATAGTAGCACCCGCACCATCGCCTTCGCCATAATAGTCGCTTGGAGGGCTGAGTTTAACCCGTTTAATGCTGCGAATAGGTGTGTCGTCTGAGACGGTGGCCTCTTGCACGTTGATCAATCCTGGGCGTAGGATGCTCCTGGAAGAACCATTGCCTTCTGCGCTTCCACCAGAAGGCGTATTGATTGCTATTGAATCGACCATTGCCGACAAGTGATCACGCGTGAATGTGTCGTACTGAAGCTGAAAAAGGCGTAGGCGTGGGTCTGTCATGGGAGGTCGTGCGATGTTGTAAACACTTGGCGTGCTTTCTGCCTGAGGCAAACTACCATTTGTGCGAGGAACAGCAAAAGTGAATTTGCATTCTACACTAGATCCGGGCGGCGCAAGTGAATTGAGGGAGGGTACTGTAGGCTTGCCTGGTTCGAGGTCTGTCTGTGAGTCGTTTGGCGTGTAGGCCTGAGATAGGCGAGAAGGGATTGTTGGAGCACACTGGAACGCAAGTGCAATTGGCTTCGAAGGAGGTGGTGAAGGTGGCTCGAACATTTTCTCGAGTGCTAAAGGACTGAAGAAGTCTTTAATGATGCCCCTCTTAGGTTGTCGACCTGGCGTCTTTTGCAAGAGAGCTGGAATGGGTATATCCTCGCGGATTAAGAACGTACCAACTGGTTCAGGTGCTACTGGAAGTGGCTCAGTGTCATCCTGAGCTTGACTTGGGGTTCGCAGGTAGCCAGGTAACGGAGTTGTGAGAGAGATGGACTGAGTACCCATGGACGACGCTTCGTCTTCGTCTATCCACTCTTCATCTAAATCGTCCGTCATCCATGCCGGACGAGCTTCCGCCATGGCACTGAAAGCAAGAGTGTTAAACGTTGCAGCTGCAGTGTTGAAACTTGTAAGCCAGCACGCGGCGTGAGTTTTCACCACGTGACCGTTCTCTTTCTTGTTGGTCCGAGTGGACCCTTATTTAGCAATCATTTCTTTTTTTGCCTATAGGGGATAGCCTGGGAATACTCCTTAGCAGAGTTATGGAAGTGAGGGATCATATCCGTCATAATTAAATAAACATCTTTACGGTCAACTTTGCACAAATATTCTTCAGTAACAGTTCCATCAAGGGCTATCAAGGGCTATCAAGGGTTGCCAAGAATCTCAATCGAACGTACATGAGAGCCCAATTCCCCTCTTTGTCCTTCATGTCAACCTCACACATATCCACGACCTCGTCTATGATAGCGGCGGCCTCCTGGTCACTAAATTCCTTCAGGAACGTTCGGCGCGAAAACAGCTGAAGCCATCCACGGAGCCCACCGTCCGGCAGTGGCGTCAGCCTTGGAACCAAATCAATGGTATTAACGCGGAAACCCGCACTTTGCAATAACTACGCAGCCAAAAAAATATGAGCAGCTGACAGCCATTCAACACATGACAGACCCTTTGATATTCTTCGATTGTCGGAAAGTACCAGGGATCCATTTTATCGGGCTCGTAACCTCGCCTTTTGACAGCCCGGTGAAGGCCGATCCGAACGCCTGCATTTGTCGTCATTAAAGATGCTATCCACTCAATAGCGTAGATTTACCGATACAATTCATGAATCCGCCCATCTCACATACAAAACGCCCACCGACTTTGAGCAGCCGCTTTGCCCCATCCAGAACTCCGCGCGGGTTCTGTTTACACCAATGTAGTACGGCATTGCTGAAGACAGCATCGAAAGAGCTCTCCAACACAGGAGGTATTTGAATATTTTGAAGGTCAGATATGTACGCGTGCCTAACCCCATTCACTAAAGCTTTGGAAACCTGACAAAGACATCAATATTAGTTAGGTAGCAACTCGGTTCATACAAACCATGTCATTGTTGTAGTCAATACCAACAGTGAACCCACTCGCACCAACAGCTTCTTGGATCCGCAAGGTCAATTCCCCGGTTCCACATCCAAAGTCAACGATTCTTTCGCCAATGGAAGGTTTCAAAAGGGACAAAATGGGTGCAGTGTACTCAGTAGAATACACAAATGCCGCTGTTTGGTTGTAATTCGACGCAGAGTAGTCCGATGTTGACGAATGGTCCTGAGAAGCCATGCCTTCGAGGAGCCGCAGAACTGCAATAACTCTCTGGTGAGCGGACCTTTAACGACTCGTGTTCATGTATCGGGAAGCTTCGGCATTGCACTGATCGGCCGAAGTTCCAGGCACACCTCACTGGGCGTTGGATCACGGTAGGACCATAGGCTATTCAGGCTAGCTTAGTAGCTACTAAAAGCGACTGCATGGTAATCAGTGCCAGTGAACTCGGCCGAAATCAGACTGACGGCCGGACAGAGAAAGATGCTCGACCTGGGACCAGTGAGTACCCTGGACTCTGGATAAGGGAAGTCTACTAAGCACATGGCATAGTCCTGAAACTCTGATCAAGAAAAGCGGATTTAACGGCTACACAGTAAATGAGTGTGTTCGAGATATCTCTCTGAGCCGCTTCTGATTGATGTATTCCAAGTTGAGTATGATCTTCCATCATATATTGATTGTCTGTAAACCAGCGAAGTGAATTGCGGTTGGGTGAGCAATCATACGAACCATACGTTTTCGCAATACGGCACCGCGGGGTCGGGGACCTGAGACATAGTTTGTGGTCCATGCGGGTGAGGAACACACCTTGGACTGTTTGGGATAGATACGCAGCTCGGGCTCGGTCTGGCACCTGGCTGAGGCGCATGAATCCTGAACTATTCATGTATCGGCCTTCGCATAAGGATCGATGAGGCTTCAAGCAAGCATATGCTTGCGCTTCGCCGGAGTATTCGCTTGTATTCGTGGCCATGTGGGGATTCGACATGTCAACAAGTCTTCGCGACAGAATGAAAATGAGCTACGGCGAAGATATCGTGGTCGGGTAGAACCAAGGATGACAGAATTGTGGCGGATCCTGGAGCCTGCGATTGATGATATTGATGATCCTTTGTACACCGGTGACCGAGTTGTACAACTTGAACTTGTGCTTGAGTTTCGGTGTCACTAGAAGTTCCGCGGTACGTAAATCTGAGAAAGAAGAAGTTGGGTCACCGGCTGAGTTTGCCTTTAGCTTGCAATACACGATGACACTTCGGCTTTGACTTCGGGATTCATTTACTATTCATTAATGCATTCAAACCATGCGGTCGCAATACGAAATCTGCACCATCGAAGTCATCTCAACAAGAAGCACGAACAGTTGTAAATGTGGTTCTTGCCGCGGATCAAACGAAACTTTTTATAATTAAAACAGTGACTCACAACTGCGGGTGTTGACTGGAAGATAAGTCAAGAGATAAGTTGGTTACAATATATGAAATTCTGGCACCTTAACGTTCCATTCGTCGATCTTCTCTGGTCGTGGCTTCCCGGCGGGCGATATCATGATATCGGGACCGAACTGAGCCCACTGGCCATCCTGAACACACGGAATTTTCATGTCCATGATGACTTGAGGGTATTCTAATTACTTTCTGCCTAGTTGTGGCAACCTCTCGTATGTCAATTCAGTCTATAATTTATTACTCACCGGCTCTGCAGAAAAACAAGGCTGGCGCTAATCGCCGATGATTGTGTTGTAGGCTGCCGAGATTGAAGTTCTCTTACCGCCGTTTACTTCCGACCTATTGCTGCAGCGAACCACCGGTCCTGTAATATACCTTGGCCTCTTTCATTTGCGTTAAGATGTGTCACTATGACTTCTGCGCTCGTGACACATGATCCCAAACTGCGCTGATGCCGTTTATTGTTCATTAGATATGAATCTAGCCATCATTAGCGCATACCACAACTACCTGGCTATTGCAACCCCCCGCCGAATTAGCACACTGATGACCAAAAAGATGCATTTCTTTCGAACGTTGAAAAAGTGAAAAAGCCAGGAACAGCGCTACAAGTGTTGGGCATTGCCGATGCTCGTGGTAGTATATATCAGACTTCCTACCTGTAGGAAAAGGCAGCCGAATCATAGTATGGTACAAAGAAATTATTACAGGGGTTTCAGTCATTGAAAACACGTAGTGTGATGTAATGTGTTGTCCTACAGTCAGACAGGACATCGACACCAACTTGCTCCTAACTCATCATGATAGCCTTCAAACAACGGTAGGAGAGGCTTGGGTGGCGAGACCAGGTTCTGCGTCAGGTCCCGCCGTACCTGTACTGGTGGCATGTGTGGTATTGGCTGCGGATGAACTCGTAACTGGATGTTGGTCGGCCATACGACGAGCCTCTTCATGAATGTCGCGAACTTGCTTTGAAGTATTGGTGTAAAATTCGAGGACAGACTTTCCAAATGGAGATGAGATCGCCTTTGAGTAGTACTGTAATCGTGGGTTAAACTCATTCGGATAGAGATCATTCTACTAACCTCGTGGGCAACCTTGGAATAACCTTTCTGTTCGTCGATGGTCTTCGCCCTGGTACGGGCATTCTGCAGCGTTGAGTGCACTCTGCCGGATACTGTTTGGTCGGAACCGAGAGCTTTCTGTCCAACTGTTGTATCGAGGCCGCGCATATAATCTAAGAACCGTTTGGAAATCCCCTGCTTGTCTAACAAGGAAGACGCGTGAGTTGGCATTCGACATGGTACATGAATTAACTCACGGTCAATTTCGATGGCTCGCTGCAAGATGTGGTCGGAAAGTGAGTAGCCCTTTGCCAAATATTCGGCGGCAACTGTACTTGGATGTCAAGATGCTAGTCCATAACAAAGGGGGAATACGTACTTCCAGCTCTAGGCTTTTCTGACTGTTCGAAAGGTGAGCTTGAGTGATGCGGTTGCTCCTGATGATTGTGGTGTTCGACGTCGGAGGTGATGTTGAGTTGTTCACCGTCTAGAGTACCCCCATTGAGCTAGGGATGAGGTGTTGGTTAATCGGATTCAAATTCATAGTGTGTTGTCTTACCATGAGCGCTGTACCGGCAGACGAAGGTTTCTCAAAAGTGACAACTGCGGATTGTGCTGTCTCCCCCTCAGATTTGAGATCAATCGACTTGATGCTAGATCAATGTTAATCACGAACATAGGACAAAGAAGGCATACAAAACTCACTTGCCGCAGAAACTGATAGCACAGCGAAATTAGTAACTGGCAACAATGGAGTGAAGTATTATATTACCTGAAAAATTCATGAAGCTTCTCCTGAGTGGTGCTTGAAGAAATGTTCGAGACCTGAAAGCTGAAGTCAGGGAAAGAGAACGAATATGCTACTAGTTCGATTTACTGTGACTGAAAACATGGTTGATGTGGTTGTGGTTGTAGGTAGACTTGGATGAGTTGGAGCTTTGGTCGCAGTAGCCAAGATGCACTTAGCAGGCTGCAGCTGATTAGATGCTGATGATATCATCGGTCGACAGCGTGTGAATGTGGTACTATATTTGGACATGAACACCCGGTCACACCATGCCTAAGCATAAGCACACCGGTACAGGAACGCTCGCTTTTGAACATCCGCAAAGTTATTCGAGATCAAGATGGCAGACATGGACGTTGATACTCCTGCACCCTCCAAAAAGGAAGCAAAGGATGACGGGAAGCAACGATTCGAAGTAAAGAAGGTATGGTCTTGTCTGTCTCATACTCTCGCTCCCTCCGTTGATAAGTCGCTCAGTGGAATGCAGTATCTCTTTGGGCATGGGGTACGCTGCCTATCCCTAAAATTGATCGAAGCATTCAATTTTTCTCACAGATATCGTCGTCGACAACTGTGCTATATGCAGAAATCATATCATGGATCTTTGTGCGTCTACTTGCATCTCATCCCAATGTCACTCAAAGGACGCTGTCATTTAGGTATCGACTGTCAGGCAAATCAGGTATCAGCATCTACAGACGAATGTAATGCTGCATGGGGGATTTGCAACGTGAGTTTATCGCTACTCGATGACTCCTTTAGATCTCATCCCCGCCACTCCTTCCAAAGCACGCATTCCATTTCCACTGTATCTCACGTTGGCTCAAGACGCGCAATGTATGTCCGCTTGATAATCGTGAATGGGAGCTCCAGAAGTGTGTTTCTTCTTCTTTCTGGTTCAATTTTGCTGATGTATGCATAATAGATACGGACGGTGATCGTGGCATGTCCAACTCCTTTACACCCACGTCTTGTTCCATTACTGTAAGATGTCGTTATTCATCCACTGTATCAATCATAGAAATACTTTCATGCCGCATTGCACCAATCTCTTGGATGAACAAACATTGTTTAAGCTGTCTGAAAGACAATAACGTGGTTCGAAGACACCAAGTGTTCTCATCAGCATGCCTCCGACAGTCCAGGCAGCATGTGAACCGAGAAGGTCATGCGTGGAAACATATAGCTGAATCTTATCGCACCATCACTTCGCACAGCTTCACGCCTGAAAGATGACCTCAGTCTCCTCTGTTCGTGCCAGGTAAAGTCATTAGAAAAGGTAATTCCTCCTTACTACTTCATGGACGATGCAGATACGTAGTTCTGACGTCTACGCAGGCGCCGGAGTGCAATCCCCATTACCTTCCTTTAAGCAACATGTACGGATAGTATGAGAAAACAGCCAGCTATGGAGTCAGTCGGACCAGGACACCTGACCAACCTCCTCCAAGCTCACCCAAGCCAGTAGAAAAGCATTGTATTCTCAGGTCGGTCGGTCTGTATATACCCGTCCACCAAATCAGTGACCACATCGAGAACGGTCACTCGTTTCGTATCGTCTGCAGCTTTTGGATTTACGCAGGTCTCCACTGACTGATGTTATGAGGCTATATGAACCTTCAAGTTCAAGTGGGCTACTCCGAGTCAACATCGTCAACGGCCCTAAGTGTATTATCGGCAGCTCACCATGATATCGGGTAGCATAGTGTGCAGGTTTCATTACTAAATCTTCACCCCTTGATGTCACCAAGACGTTGGGCTTGATCCAACGCACTTCCGCCGCGGTGGCGCGTGTCTGAACTGATCAAGCTTCAAGTCCTTTCCCTTTTCAATTGATCAATTGACTGTGGCTGCAAAGTCGTTGGGCAATTCCAACGAAATCTAAGATAGCTGCTACAATAACCTCCAGCAGCCAACAACTTTTCTTTCTTACCCGTGATTTCTCGCACATCCGCCTAGTGCATCGGAAGACGAGTCGAAGGATGGCTGGAGAACTATTACGCACTGCTTCAGTCAACCCCATCCAAACGTTTCTGGTGCACGCAGATACTTAACATCGTACGGCAGAGAACCGCCATAGGCCCATGAATCACAGGTCACCGATATGAATGCAATTCGATTGGAAAGCTACAATTGTGGTGTAAAATAAAACAGACGACATCTAAATTCCACCCAGAATTTACCGACGTGATTGTCAAGATATTCGTTGCCGAGAAGATGGTTTATCTTCAAACTTCAAAAGATCATACAGAGATTGAATTTGATCGACCTATTGAGCAGTTAGCAAAGCTGATATCAAATCAAGCTTGATTTACAACCTTGCGCTCGATCAAATCAATGATATCTTGAAGATGATCAGCCACAATACGCCGCCTCGCCGCTTGCACCGTTGAGTCCATACCCTTGTATTCGTCTGCCAGCTCACTATAAATCCTATATAAAATGAATGAGCGCGTGGACAATAAATGTCATAGTAAATTCCAAACCCTTTATGATGTGTGAATTCCTCCTCAAGTTCTCGTAATACCCTGACGAGCACAGTCTGTGGTGGTAATTTGCCGCCCTGGAAGATGGCTTCGTACGAATCGACACCATCGGGTTCGAAGGCATTCGCTCGGGACTGGAGGGGATCGTCCTTGACTTGCGCATTAGGGCCCTGATCATTCAAGAGTGGGACCCGTCCCTGACTTGACCGTGTGGCCTTCGTGTTCGCATAACTACCGGTGCGCGTTGACCGGTGATTACACCGGGTGCATGTCCCAGAGTTGTGTTTCGGTGCAGAGAAGAATAAGTTTTCGAGGCGACCTGAACGAATACGGGGGAAGGGGGCAGCTTCATCATCCTTCAACGTCTCCCTCCTAGTCGCAGGCCGACTCCCGTCTTCGGATTCAGCGACTCGAGCGTGTGTCATGTCACCTGGACGCGAGCCATGGCGCAATGACAGGGGAACACTTCCACGAGAGGATCCTTCAGAACGTTGTTCCTCAAGATCTTCTGATATCCGAGTTAATGGGGCAACATCATCGTCTCTCGAAGGCTCCCTTCGAGTAGCGTGACATCTACTATCTTCGGAGTCAGTGAGCCGAGTCATGTCACCTGGGTGCGACCGCGAGCTATGTCGTGACGACAGGGACGGGCTTCCACAGGAAGATCGCTCAGATCTTCGTTCCTCCAGGTCTTCCGATATCCGCGTCAGTTCGTCCACGTCAACAAACCTTCTTGTTGACTGAAAATCAGAACGAGTAGTCACTAGGTCTGGCTCCTGATGCAACTGGTCCGGCACAGAGACCTCGTCTTGCTCTTCCACGAGTTGTGACTGCTGCTCCCTCGCCATCCGTCTTTCATTGAGACCCTCTTCTACAACATTCCTGAGTACCTCAATCTCACCCGCAAGCCTTTCAACCTCGAGCCGAAGGGCACCGATTTCATCAGTTTTCTGGGCAAGCATCTTGGCGTCGTCCTCTCTGAGTCTCTTAAGGTCCTCCAGGAGCTGTTGTTGTGCTGTCAAGTCTGTGGTGACACGGGTGAGGTGTGAGCGGAGGGTAGATATCAAGGATTCGAGGGCTATACGAGCGGGTCAGATGAGATTCATCAGAACGACGGGCTATAGCCGACCTTTCTTTTCCTCCACGACCTCGAAATACTTTGACTGTTCTTCCTCTCTCTCTCGTCGCTCCCCTTTGCCCCTTTTCCATGATGGCTCGCCTGGGTCTTGTTCTATGATTCTAGAACGTTCTCGAGCGACATCACGTTTGCATTGTTGGAGCTCACACTCGAGTTCCCGGACGCGGCGGCGAGCGATGCCGTTTTCTGTTTCAAGATGAGCGAGCTTTGCATGAAGGGCGTTAAGTGACGCTATAAGACGGGCTGTACAGGAATTGAGATTCTTGAAATGGGTGAAAAAGAATTACAGACATTCCACCTCTTTCGATGAACCAGCGGTCTTGATACCGTAGCGTTCAAGGTTGGCCTTTGCAGGAGAAACAACTGCACTCGTAAGGCCAGTCAAGTCTGGGAGGTTTACTCGTCCTCTGCTGGCTTTCCTCAATGACCGATTTGGTGGGGCCACCTCTACATTAATATCAACGGCACTGTGATCGAGGACGTCGTGAAGGGGTTGTTTCAATGCATCGTGGTGCTTCATAGAGGTACGACGAGAACCTGCAAGCGCCACACGAGGGGTAGTAGTAGTCTGTGATTGGTTCTGGAGTAATGCGGCATCCTCGGCCTGAGCCTCATGCACATCCTTCGCAAGGCCCCTCGCCATACGAGTAAATTTGGAGCTAGTTGCAGATGGTGTGGGCGGCTGAACATTTAACTGCGGTTGGGATACATGCCGTCGCACGGGTGTTGTATCCACGTCGAAAGATACAGAATGAGAGGCCTTGCGTGCTTTAGGAGTTGTTGCTTTTCGGGAATAGGATGGAATATGTTGGAAATCAGGTGCATCATGTAGATACGAATAGGAGCGAGAGGGAGACTGTTGCGCCGCAGTACTTCTTTGTAAATTGCGCGGTCGACGTGGAGAGAAGCCGACACGCTGCAAATTGGCGGAGAGTTTGCGGCGGGAGGTGTTGAGCGAGCGGTCTGCTTCTAACTCAGCCGACTCAGGTTCGAGAGGTGGAGAACGGAGTCTTGCAGCAAGTGCCACATGTTGTGAGACCTGAGACAGATCGTAGTCGCCTGACGCATCGACGGCCTCACGAGAGCAGGGCTGAAGGGCATGTTAGTGGATGTAAGAGAAACAAGCCTGATGGATCGTACCATTTGTCTGGACTTGGTGTGAGGCTCTAAGATACTGATGCGGCTGTCCATACCAGCAATCATATCTTGCAGCGGGCGATCTGGGTCGTACTCAGCACCACTGAGACTGATTTCCCTCCGTTGACCATGTCCACCGAGCCCTGCGCCGATTGTGACAGCGCTGGCATGGTGGCCGATTGTAGAAACAGTCTCACCGGCATAAGGATTTACACCTTCATCTTCATGCGTGGACCACGCGTGCAAGCCACTGGGAGCATCGTAGTCAAAGTGCTGACTGGGTTGTTCGAATGATGCAAAGCCTAGGGAATGGTTAGAATTGTGTCTCGGATATTCAACGCTGTCGTCGTCCCCTTGTGAAGATGAAAGATGCAGTGATAAATCAGTGTTTTGTATCTGCTGTTCGAGCTGAATGCGAGACTGTTCGAGCTCGTCACCAGGAATAGAAAATTCGAAAGTGGTTGACGGACGTCGCGCCATCAATTTCGCAGCGCAGGTTGTGTAGAAATAAGAAACAAGAATGAGATTAAAGATCAAAAGCTATATGAAGGGTGAGATTGAAGAAAGTCACAGTCGAACTCAATGCGACAAGACACGGTCCACACCGAATCCACACAAAAAAACAACACGACGCGCCAGTCACGTGAGCGAGCATAACTCCCGGCTTGATGGTCTGCCACAGTTTTTAGTAGTACCTGATGGAAACACAAACCCATAAACCTCACCGTCCAGCCCAGTCTGGCTCAAAAGCTGAAAAGAAAGGCAAGGGAAAACAAAAAACGGGGTTCAATGAAAAGGTGCTATCTGCGAACCGCTCTCTAGCATTTCCTTGTTAACATTCTCTCAGGCATTTGCACCAAAATCCGGGCGACGTGCCGATCGCCAGGCCCGGAGAAACGTCGAGCGTGATGAAGCTCGTCTTCATGTCCCTCTCGTAAACAGAACGCCTGATGATGAACCCCCACCAGTCATCATCGCAATCGTTGGGCCTCCAGGCGTAGGCAAGACCACTCTGCTCAAAAGCCTCGTCAGAAGATACGCAAAGCAGACATTGTCCGAAGCCAAGGGTCCGATCACTGTGGTTGCTGGAAAGAAAAGGAGACTCACATTTATCGAGTGTAATAGCGACCTCAATTCTATGATCGACATCGGTAAGGTCGCCGACCTCGTTCTCCTCATGATTGATGGCTCTTACGGCTTTGAAATGGTGCGCTTGTTCATGCCGAAAATTTCATATCATAAATATCTTTGATCGATGACAGGAAACGTTTGAATTCCTCAACATCCTCCAGGCTCATGGTTTTCCAAAAGTCATCGGCATCCTTACTCATCTCGACCTCATCAAAAAACAAGCCACCCTCAGGGCTACCAAAAAACTACTCAAAAGACGCTTCTGGAATGAGATATATCAAGGCGCGAAACTTTTCTATCTCTCTGGTGTTCTCAACGGTCGTTATCCCGATACCGAGATCCTTAATCTTTCCCGTTTCATCAGCGTCATGAAGTTTCGACCCCTTGTCTTTAGGAATACTCACCCATACCTTCTTGTGGACAGGATAGAAGACTTGACGCCGCGCGAGGAAATAAGAATCTCGAAAGGTCGGTGCGATCGCACTGTGACCCTATATGGTTACTTGCGAGGGACAAATTTGCGGCAAAGCACCAAGGTGCACATCCCTGGTGTAGGCGATATGGATATAAAAACAGTGACAAAGCTCGGCGACCCATGTCCCTTGCCAGATGCGGATTCTGAGAAACGAAGAAAGTTGAGCGAAAAGAAGAAACTTCTTGTGCATGCACCCATGAGCGATGTTGGTGGTGTTATGTACGACAAGGACGCTGTGTGGATTAATGTCCCTGGTAACTTCACAAGAGGAGCCACCGATGGTGAGCAGAATTGACGTTGCTTGATTGCATGTTATTGACTCTTGTGAGCAGTTCCTCATGGCGAGGGTGAGCGAATGGTCATTGACCTACAAGACGTCGATGAGACACTTGAAGAGACAGTGGCCCGGAGCAACATCCGCCTTTTTGGTTCTTCGTCAAATCCACTGACTATTGATACCCGACATCATAATAGAGAAAACAGCTACGACGACGACGATGCCGAGGAGGACGACGATGCTTCACAGGGCGACAGTGAGTTTGAGGAGGAAGAAGAGGTATTCTCGGAAGACGAGCAGGACGATGAAGGGAGTGGCGAAGAGGACGAGCAGTTCCGCACCGGCTCTTCAAATACAGGCCGTCACGCAGCACGCACCATCGTGCGCTCTACACATGGTTTTTCCAGCAAGGAAAAGGAAGAAGGAGATGTTGCTTTTGCTGACTCTGACTCCGAACTTGGGTTGTCCGATGATGAAGGCCGTGGCAGAGCAGGTGAAGTCATGTATGCTGACGATGAAAAGGAGATTTTGAGCGATGACGAGGAAGAGTTTGATGAAGACAACGAGGATAATGTGCCAGCGTGGAAATCCGGACTGGCTGCGAAAGCAAGCGCTGCATTCGAGGAGCTCAACCGTCGGAAGCGGCGTAAAGACTGGGTTGCGATGATTTATTCCAGTTCGCTTAGTCCAGAACAGATTGCCAATGGCGCCGACAAACCTGGGGTCAAACCGGACGAAATAGATGATGACTTCTTCCGGGTGAACGGCTCCGGTGCTACGAACCAAGATGATCTGGACATGACGAAAGAGGCGCTGTCTCTTGGTGCGCTGAGGGAGTGGGAAGATGAGGGAGTTTTGGATTCTCTAAGGACGCTATTTATCACAGGAGATCATGACGGTGGCGAGGCAGACCAGGAAATGAAGGCCCACGAAAACCCAGAAGGCGCTGACCTCGTCGACCTGGAATCCAGGAAAGCCCAACCTGCTCCCACTGAATTCGAGGGCATTGATGCCGAGACTCGTGCCCTTATCGAGGGTTATCGGCCTGGAACATATGTGCGCATAGAACTTGCTTCAGTCGCTTGCGAATTCATCGAACACTTCGACCCATGCTACCCTATCATCGTCGGTGGACTACTGGCTGCAGAGGAGCGTATGGGATACCTCCAAGTTCGCATTAAGCGCCACCGCTGGTTTGCACGTACATTGAAGACGAATGACCCGCTTATCTTTTCCCTCGGCTGGAGGCGCTTCCAGAGTGTCCCCATATATTCACTCGACGACCATTCGATCAGGATGCGCATGTTGAAATATACGCCAGAGCACATGCATTGCTATGCGTCGTTCTATGGCCCAGTTGCGCTCCCAAACACAGGTTTTTGTGCATTTAACGCGCTCTCAGGGGAGACTGTTGCATTCAGAGTAAGCGCGACTGGTGTGGTCCTGGACATTGACCGGTCAACAAAAATCGTGAAGAAGCTGAAGCTTACGGGTGTGCCGTTCAAGATTTTCAAGAATACAGCATTCATCAGGGACATGTTCACTAGCGCTCTGGAGGTGGCGAAGTTCGAAGGTGCGAGCATCCGGACGGTATCTGGCATCAGAGGTCAGGTAAAGAAAGCGCTGAACAAGCCGGAGGGTGCCTTCCGTGCCACATTTGAAGACAAAGTGCTGATGAGCGGTAAGTCGCCTCCGACGTGGATTGGATTCACTCTGAATTACGAGCCCAGATATCATTTTTCTAAGAGCGTGGTATTCAATCCAACCTCGCAAATTCTACAACCCTGTCACATCTCTCCTTCTGTCCGACAAGTCACGCTGGTCTGGCATGCGCTTAACAGGTCAAATTAGACGAGATGAAGGGCTGAAAACTCCACTGGCTGTCAACTCCACCTACAAACCGATAGAACGCCCCGCCCGACGATTCAACACGCTTAAAGTCCCGAAGAAGCTACAAGCTGCTCTTCCATACGCCTCAAAACCCAAACTTATGAAGCCTCAGAGCAAGCAGACCTACATGCAAAAGCGTGCTGTCGTACTAGAGCCTGAGGAGAAGAAAGCAATCGCACTACTTCAACAGATTCGAGCGCTGCGCAAGGATCAAATAGCACGGCGTCGTGAAAAGCAACAAGTGCGCAAGGAGACACATCGCAAGAAGATTCAAAAGGACGAGGCTAAAGATGCAGAAAAGGAGAGGGAGAAAAAGAAGGTGTATATGAGAGCTGCAGGGATGAAGAGTAAGAGGGAAGCCGATGTTGAGGAAGGAAGATCAAGGAAACGGAGGAAGACTTGAGTCCAAGTGACATGATGCACAGCCTATGTATTAGTTATTGTGGTAATTCTAATATTTGAGAGAGGCGCTGTGACAGTGACCGAAAACACGTCACGCGCGAAGTCACTCGTCAGTCTTCCGGAACTGGCCCAGTGACTATTAGAGCACGAGGCTCTGCTCCTGTTCGCGGCTGTCTTTTAATCAGCTCGTTCATCATGAACAGCCATCATTGGCAGCAGAAAGCTGGCCACGACGCCCGCAGCCAGCTCTCGCCAGATCCTGTAACACATGGCCATGCTCCCAACTCGACCTACGAAGCTCACAGGCTCTTTGCCGCATACCCAACGGCTTCTGCGACACCTTCCACGCACGGTTAGATTTTTATACGTTTTGACACGTCAAACGCGTCTAACAATTCATCTAGCGGGAAGACACATGAATCATTTATCTGTGTCCGCACCTAACCCCACCTACTTGCAACGGACCTATCTCGAATATAACTCTGGGTCGCAATACCAGCCAGCTCCGGCGCCTTCCCCGCTTTCAGAATACTCTCATGAGCTCTCCTATCTTTCAACTACGTCGATGCCCACAGGTGATTCACGTTACTGGCACAATACAAGGGACGACTCCGTGAGGCTACTGTCCGAAGGCGGCTCGTACGTCAAACTGTTGCAATCAGCTTAACTCAATATTAACATCTCTAGACACAGATTCGCTTCTTCTCAGTTTGCATCTCCATGGCTACAATCCCAACCTCAATCAACGTATCATCCTCTTCCGTTTGCTCAGTCATTGATTCAACGCATGAATCCTCCTGCTGCATACCCTACCCCACCTCCGCCTGGCATTCGAAGCACTTCATCTTCTCTCGCATTCGCATTAGGACATCCGCTAACGTATCCTAACCAACCCAAGCCACCCACCGAACCCGTTCATCGGCGTAAAGAGCCTGTTGCAGCATTTAACCATTTCATTGCTCAGAAGAATCGAGACATCGAGATGAAACAAGCTGAACGTGACATCAAGGAAGACGAACTGCAAAATTCTACCCAAACTCCATCTCAGCCTGTGGCCCTTCGGTCTGTGCAATCGCAATCCAACACCCATTTAATCGTACAGTCAGCTCCTCGATCCCCCCAGATTCACGTTCCCCCGAGTACCCCTACATCCACACAGTTGACTCCGCGCTCTACTGCTCACCTTCCCGTCCCATTGGCACCCGCAGAAAACAGCGTGACTCCTCAGAAGCGAAAATATACTGGTGAAGACAAAGGTTCTCCGCTGAAGCGTGTACACACTGTACCGTCCGAATGTCAGGAAGAGTTGAATATTCAGTTTCACTCCTTACAAACTAGTACACCCTCATCGAGAACTACACCGCGACAGGTAATGGCGTATGTAGAGGTACCTCCTTTACCAAGCGCATGGAGGACTCCTTCCAAGAAGCGGCCTCTGTCAACGTCCATGTCAACCCCTGCATATAATTTTGATGCATCGGGGTCTGAAGAGGATGATGTCCGGTACAAGTTTGATATCCATGCTAGTGTAAAGTTGTCTGCACGTCGTACAGGTGATAGAGATGAACGAGGTAGGAAATCTTTCATTGATGTTTTATCAACCATTCATCTTCCCTTCAGCACCTCTCGAAAAACTCTCCGCGCTCATTGAGGACATATTCGAAGCTGAAGACTCGTTGGCCGTGGACATCGATGTATCAGAGCTTCCGAAAGACTTTTTTTCTGCACTCACCACAGATTGCTCACACCCCCACTTGCAAGCCAATGTGATCAAGAAACTGACGAAACATCTCAGTCAGCTCGCTCGACCTACAAAACGATCTAGACGGTCTGCTCGCGATAGCATAGACGCCCCGAGAGCGAGGAAGGCGCTAGGCGACATCGACAACACTATCCTTGCAAGACTACTAAAAATTCTGGAGCGCAGCATCAAAGCTGGGGAAGCTCTTGATCCCTTGTGTGCCTCTGCATATGTCCCTCATGCAGATAAAAATGCATCGCCACGAAAACCGAAGAAGAGTCCAAAAGCGCAAAGAGTAGTCCAACAAGATCGGGATGCCACAGGCTCTGCCTTACTGAATATTCCAGAGGAAGATACACACGAGTTGGAAGTAGACAGTACTGACATGCCTCGAGAGCTGACAGAAGCGCATCTTCACGATTTGTCAAAACAGCTAGAAGTTGCGCGCGATAGTATCCTCGCCGTGGAATGTTGCGTTGCGTTATTAAGCGGAGAAGGCCTGACTAAACAGGTTTGCCTTTCTGGTCAATTTTCAAGGTTGATCTAACTTCTTGGCAATTTCCCCCTGCTGTCAATTTCATGATACAGCTTTACTCCGAGGAGCTCATAACTGCTTGTTTGAGTACAGTCAAGAACCAGCTAACGATGATTCTATTCCCATTTGTCGAGGCTGCAAGCGTCGGTGGATCGTCGTCACCACAACTCCAATGCATTCACAGCAACACTCATACACACTCTGGTGATCTTCGACGATTGCTCAGCGAACTTTTCCAGGCAGTCTCGGCTGTACTTCCGCGCATCAATGTGTTGTTCTCCAGTGAAAACATTGTGATGTCAGACGCAATTATCATTCAGACTGTGTATATCGCAATCGGGCCGTTCTTTGTAGTGGAATCAGGCGAAGGAGATGTCAAGAGCAAGAAAGATAATGTTGTATTGAATACACTTGGCAATAGCGCTATGAGAGGTCTTCGGTTGGACGCACTCTCAGTCATTCGAAGTGTACGCTGGTCTTTCGTGTTTCAAACCACCACTCATTATTCGTCTAGATCTTTGCCAATCACGAAGAGCAGCGATCATGGATCATAGAAGAAATTTTGTCGTCACTCATCAAGCTTTCTAACAGTCATAAGAAGGCTGGGCAGTTCCGGTCAGTGAAAACTTACAGATGTTGAGTGCGAGCAACGTTGACATATCATGTTCAGCTTACGCGATGGTCGCTCCATTCGAACAGTCTCTGCACTACTATTTCAGCTCGTACAAACGTCTGCCCACGATGTCCGTGTTGCAGCGCGCAAGATTGCCAAACGTCGCCAGAGTCGCCAAGCTCTTCGTCGACAGGACAGCGTGACCAATGAGAAGTCGGCTGAACCTTTGATGGATGAATTGGATGCGGAGGTCAGTGCTAATGTTAGCAGTATCTCATACCTAACCGCCCGTGTAGGAGATACAGCTTTATATTACGGGGTTGGAGTCCGCAATGAATGCTGCAAAAACGATAGTCGTGTATTTGACACAGAGGTGAGTAAAATATTGTTGACTTCAGTGTTTGATAACACCATGTCGCTAGATCTGGAAAAGGGAAATTGACCAAAAATTCCAACGAGGCCGAATACCGAACAATTTTTGACAACCTTATTTCCGACCTTCTTGTCGTCCTGTATTGGCCAGAATGGCCAGCTGCAAGTTTCTTACTCAGCATTGTCTGTAAATTCATGGTGAGTCTTGCACCCTTGACTGTGAAACTCTTTTAAATGCTGTCACAGGTTTCTTCTCTAGATGACGTGAAAACGAGCACTCAAACGGACACAAACGCCGCAAAAAGCATTGCGCTCGATCATCTTGGTGTCATCGCGGCACGGATACGTTCAAGCTCTTTGAAGGTAAAAGTACACGACCATGACAAGCACGGTCTCCACTCTCTTGATGAGGTCTGTATTTAATCTGAGTCTTATCAACAACAATATCCTTATATCTTGCAGGTCATCTCTTCCGGCGATGTCAAACACTTGGACATGCTCATATCTCGACACCAATCAATATTTTCCCATCTTTATAAAAGAGCTTCTGAAGATCAAGCGTATGACGTGAGTGACTTCAGATACATAGTTACATTCCTCCTGACATGCAAAAGAGTGCAAATGATCTGACGGCGGCTACTTGGGGTCAAGAATTAGCAGTTGCACTCAAGCAACTTAGCAGTTCAGCGCAAGAGGATGATGAGGGTCTACAGTCAAAGCTTTACGCTAAGCTCAAGTCTGCCCTTAGGGACGTTTGGAAGGATATGTCGAATGATGTTTTTGATGTCGGGTAAGCTTCTAAACCACCTCTGAATCGCTCGAGTTGACACACTCTGGCAGCTCGCAGGAGGAAATAAATAAGGTTGATCGTTACGCTGAAGAGATTGGGACTATTCAGACGTTACGAAATTCCTTCGGGCCAATTCTTAATGTCGTCCTGCTTGCACTTGATGCACCCGCTGTTTTCATGCGTACAAAAGCATTACGAGCACTTGGACAAATTGTAAACAGTGACTCCAGCATCTTAGCAGCAGTGCGTGAACATGTTCATCGACTCAGCACTTACTGACACGCCACAAGCCAAATGTCCGTCGGGCGATCGAAAGTCATTTGCTTGATAGTTCCCCAGCTGTGCGCGACGCCGCTGTAGAACTAATTGGGAAGTATATGATAGAGTCGCCGGAGGTTGTTGGGGATTATTACACAAAAATTGCCGACCGTATCGCAGTAAGAATATTCTATCGCTCAGAAGCTCATTTAGCTGACTCTTGCAGGATACGGGACTCGGAGTTCGGAAACGTGTGATCAAACTCCTCAAACAATGTTACGCTGGCACAGAGGATCTTTCTCGACGCATAGATATCGCGACAAAGTTAGTCCTTCGCATGCTGGATGAGGATGATACAGTAAAGGATTTGGCCATCAAGACGGTTGAGGAATTATGGTTCCAGGCTGCATCACAGAGTGGAGTCCCTAAAACCCGTTCAGTGCTGTCATCTGGTCTTGGCCAAGACAAGGGGCCACTTCTCTCCAAGGTCTCAGTCATCATGGGCGTATCAGCCAACTTTAAGGACCGACAATCACCGCTGGAGGATATGCTACATAAAGTAATATCCAGCCAAGAAGCCGCTGGCGCATCGTATTTGCGAGGAAATTACTCTGAAATCTGCGAAGTCCTCATTGATGGGCTGGTAGATGCCTCGGACTTGCCAGGATTCGTACGTGCACGTGGCTCATTGTATCGATGTTGTTGACACATTCTTTTGGCAGACCGTGCACAACTGCGTCAGGACCATATATCTATTCACTA